GCACCTGTAATCCCAGCTATTGGGGAGGCTGAGGCAGGAGAATCGCTTGAGCCCGGAAGTTGGACGTTGCAGTGAGCCGAGATTGCATCACTGCACTCCAATTTGGTGACAGACTGAGACTGTCTCAAAGAAAAACACAACTCCCCCCCCCAAAAAAAAAGATAAAACCAGATAATATTCAAAATCATAACATTCCTTGGGCCCATCTGAGAGCTGGAGCAAAGGCAACTGAGCAAACTGAATTCCCAAGTGTGAGGAGCCCACTCCCACAGAGAAAGGATGCACTGCCATGCCTTACCATATTCAGCATGGATGGAGAGGGTCATGCTGCTGGAGACAGGGAAGAAATGAACTACAGTTTTAACAGTTCTTAAAGTTCAAGTGTTGGGGCATCAATTTCGAACAGCGGAGACCCTGACAAGGAATCACAGTCACTTGCACACTTTCCCAGGATGGGCCTCCAGTGGTACAGAGTAGGAGGGTGGGGAGAGTCACCCTTGGCAGCACAGACAAGTAGAAATGATCAGCTGATCCCAAGGACAGGCAAGAATACCCTTTCCCGGAACCCTTTTCTTTTTTTTTTTTTTTGAGACGGAGTTTCACTCTTATTACTCGGGCTGGAGTGCAATGGCGCGATCTCGGCTCACCGCAACCTCCGTCTCCTGGGTTCAGGCAATTCTCCTGCCTCAGCCTCCTGAGTAGCTGGGATTACAGGCACGCGCCACCATGCCCAGCTAATTTTTTGTATTTTTAATAGAGACGGGGTTTCACCATGTTGACCAGGATGGTCTCGATCTCTTGACCTCGTGATCCACCTGCCTCGGCCTCCCAAAGTGCTGGGATTACAGGCTTGAGCCACCGCGCCCGGCCCCGGAACCCTTTTCTATGAAGCAAAAACTTTAAGCCACCGGAGATGGTAAGCAAACCCTCTCACATAAAAGACCAGGCAAAAATCTACTCTTAAACCAGTAAGGAGACAATAGAAATATATTATTGTAATGTTCATTTTGTTCTTCTGAGACTTAGTCTTGCTCTGTCACCCAGGCTGGAGTACAGTGGTGCGATCTTGGCTCACTGCAACCTCTGCCTTCCCGGTTCAAGCGATTCTTGTGTCTCAGCCTCCTGAGTAGCTGGGATTACAGGCACACACACCACACCTGGCTAATTTTTGTATTTTTAGTATAGAGATGGGTTTCACCATGTTGGCCAGGCTGGTCTTGAACTCCTGGCCTCAAGCTGTCTGCCCACCTCAGTCCCCCAAAGTGCTGTGATTACAGGTGTGAGCCATCATGCCCAGCCTGTTGTAATGTTCTTATGCTGTATGTGAAGTGGAATAATATATTTGAAAGTAGTCTTTGCTGTGTTAAAGATGTATATTTTGGACCCAAGCACACTAAAAAACAAAACTAAAAACGAAGCAGAAGAACCAATTTAACAAGTCAACAAGAGGCAAAAATAGATCTATAAAAAATAATCCAAAAGAAGGCCACTACAAGAGGGAAAAAATAATCCAAAGAACATATGGGGGCAGGGCACGTTGGCTCAGGCCTATCATTCCAGCACTTTGGGAGGCCAAGGTGGGCAGACCACCTAGGGTCAGGAGTTTTGAGACCAGCCTGACCAACATGGAGAAACCCCATCTGTACTAAAAATACAAAATTAGCCGGGCTTGGTGGCGCATGCCTGTTATCTCAGCTACTAGGGAGGCTGAGGCAGGAGAATTGCTTGAACCTGGGAGGTGGAGGTTGTGGTGAGCCAAGATCGTGCCACCGTGCTACTGCACTCCAGCCTGGGAAACAAGAGCAAAACTCCTTCCAAACAACAACAAAAAGGAACAGATGGGACAAAGAGAAAATAGCAAAACTATATTTAAATCCAATCACATTGATAATTACATTAAATGTAAATTGTCTAAACATGACAAGAAAATGACTGTCAGGTTGGATTTTAAAAAGACTCAAATTATATACTGTCAACGAGAAACCCATTTTAAGTTAAAAAGTAAAAAGATGAATAGGTTTAGCATGGTGTATCATGCCTGTAATCCTAGCACTTTGGGAGACCTAGCTGGGTGGATAGCTTGAATCCGGGGGTTAGAGACCAGCCTGGGCAACAAAGCAAGACCCTATCTATATAAAAAGTAAAAAAATTAGCAAGGTGTTGTGGTGCAAGCCTGTAGTCCCAACTACGTGAAAGGTTGAGGCAGGATAGCTTAGAGCCTAGAAGGTCAAGGCTGCAGTGAGTTTTAACTGCACCACTGGGTATGACTGCACCACTGGATATGACTGCACCACTGGTTATAACTGCACCACTCGGTATGACTGCACCACCACTGGGTATGACTGCACCGCTGGTTGGGTATGACTGCGCCACTGGGTATGACTGCGCCACTGGGTATGACTGCGCCACTGGATATGACTGCGCCACTGGATATGACTGCGCCACTGGGTATGACTGCACCGCTGGTTGGGTATGACTGCACCGCTGGTTGGGTATGACTGCACCACTGGTTGGGTATGACTGCACCACTGGTTGGGTATGACTGCACCGCTGGGTATGACTACACCACTGGTTGGGTATGACTGCACCGCTGGGTATGACTGCACCGCTGGGTATGACTGCACCGCTGGTTGGGTATGACTGCACCGCTGGTTGGGTATAACTGCACCGCTGGTTGGGTATAACTGCACCACTGGTTGGGTATAACTGCACCACTGGGTATGACTGCACCACTGGTTGGGTATGACTGCACCACTGGTTGGGTATAACTGCACCACTGGGTATGACTGCACCACTGGGTATGACTGCACCACTGGTTGGGTATGACTGCACCACTGGTTGGGTATGATTGCACCACTGGGTATGACTGCGCCACTGGGTATGACTGCACCACTGGTTATGACTGCACCACTGGGTATGACTGCACCACTGGTTGGGTATGACTGCACCACTGGGTATGACTGCGCCACTGGGTATGACGGCACCACTGGTTATGACTCACTGCAGTCTTGGCCTCCTGGGCTCTAAGCTGTCCCAGAGCAAGACCCTGTCTCAAAAAAATAAAAATAAAATAAAAAAGTAAAAAGATGGAATAAAATAGATCATGTGAACTTTAATCAAAATAAAACAGGAGTTGCAACATTAATACCAGATGAAATGGCCTTCAGAACAAGGAATATAACCAGACACGAAGAGATACATTACATAATAATAAAGAGGTCAATTCATCAAGAAGCCATACAATCATACAGAAAACTTCAAAATAAATAAAGCAAAAATGACCAAAAAAGGGGGGGACACAAATCTATAATTTAGTTGAAGAATTCAAAACTCTTATTTTGGTAACTGACAAAACAAGCAGAACTTACCATCACTATCAACCAACTTAACTTGGCTGACATAGAACATTCCACCCAATGACAGCAGATTATACATTCTATTCAAGTGAACATGGAACGTCAACTAGGAGACACCATTCTTGGACATAAAACAAGTCTTGGTAAATTTTAAAAAATGGAAATAATAAAATTAAATTAGAAATCAACAACAATAGGCCGGGCGCGGTGGCTCAAGCCTGTAATCCCAGCACTTTGGGAGGCCGAGGTGGGTGGATCACAGGGTCAAGAGATCAAGACCATCCTGGTCAACATGGTGAAACCCCGTCTCTACTAAAAATACAAAAAATTAGCTGGGCATGGTGGCGCGTGCCTGTAGTCCCAGCTACTCAGGAGGCTGAGGCAGGAGAATTGCCTGAACCCAGGAGGCGGAGG